GTGTGTGTGTGTGTGTGTGTGTGTTTGTGTGTGTGTGTGTGTGTGGTGTGGTATTGTATGGTATGGTATGTACGTTAATTTTGAGTGACCCAAGGATATTAAAAGTAAAACTCCTTGGAGTGACGTACCTCGGGCAGCTCCTATTGTAGAAGAAATCATAATGTGTCATGTGATGCAGAATTAGAATTTGTTTAGCTTTAAGATGATATATTATGCTGCATGAGTGGGCGGTACAACAAAGCTTTAACACGAGCCCAATCCTGAAGAACAGAAACGTCTCAATGACTACAAAAATGAAAGTTCTGAAATGCTATGGGTAACCCTACTATGTGGCTGTGAATGCTGGACTATCACAAAAGACAGTGAAAATAAAATAGAAGCAACAGAAACGTGGTTCCTAATTAGGAGACTGCTCTGAATATCCCGAAAGGAAAAGAAATCAAATGAGGAAGTTCTTGATGGAGCCCACGTGGGACACTCACTGTTAAAAACAATCAGGAAACGACAAATGCAGTTTTTGGGACACCTGAATTATAGACATAAGGGTCTTGAAACATCTAGAATCTAGCTCTCACTGGCAAAAGTGAAGGCAAGCGAGGCAGGGGCAGGCCTAGAGCAACCTACTTGGGGGGCCTAAACAAGTGGGTGACAGTGAAAGATCAGGGAAATGTCGCTTATTTAAGAGCGTCCGAGCAAAGGAATGAATGGAGAACCATGATCGCCTATGTCTGTCGCAGATCTAGCTCAGGATGGTGATGATCCCCCCCCCCTCTCTCTCTCTCTCTCTCTCTCTCTCTCTCTCTCTCTCTCTCTCTCTCTCTCTCTCTCTCTCTCTCTACCTATCTATCTTGTTTACAGTCTCCCCCCCCCTCTTTCTTTTGCTGTCTCTTTCCTTCACTTTCTCTCTGTCTCTCTTTGTATGTTTATGTGTGTATGTATGTATGTCTTTGTGTGTGTGTGTGTGTGTATGTGTGTGTGTGTGTGTGTGTGTCTGTCTGTGTATGTGTGTGTCTATTTATGTGTGTGTGTCTGTGTATGTCACTGTGTGTGTTTTTATGTATGTGTGTGTTTGTGTGTCTGTGTATGTCTGTGTGAGTGTATGTGAGTGTATGTGTATGTGTATGTGTATGTGTGTGTGTATGTGTGGTATTTATGTGTGTATGTGTGTGTCTCTCTGTGTGTGTATGTGAGTGTATGTGTATGTGTATGTGTGTGTGTGTGTATGTGTGGTATTTATGTGTATATGTGTGTGTCTCTGTGTGTGTGTGTTAATTTGTGTATATATGTAAGTCTCTCTCTCTCTCTCTCTCTCTCTCTCTCTCTCTATCTTTATCTCTCTCTTTCTCTCTCTCTCTCTCTGTGTTTGTGTGTGTGTG